GCCAATTTTTGTAGTTTTAGTAGAGATGGGGTTTCACCATGTTGGCCAGGATAGTCTCAATCTCCTGATCTCATGATCTGCCCACCTCAGCCTCCCAAAATGCTGGGATTACAGGCGTGAGCCACCACGCCCGGCCTGGGCCTATTTTGTAAGGATGCTAATCCCATTCATGAAGCTTCTGTCCTTATGGCATAATCACTTCCCAAGACGCCACCTCCTAGTACCATCACTTTGGAGATTAGGACTTCAACATATGACTTTTGAGGGGACACAAAGATTCAGACCACAGCAATGAAGAATAGGTTTATGACAAAGTCTTTCCAAGCCACAGAAGGCCCTTATTGCTGTTAATAACAAACTAAAGGGAGCTATTATGTTGAAGAAAATGTATGTGCATTTTATTCTCAAAATTGAAGGATAAGGAAATACAGTACAACCAAATGTAAGACGTATTAAACAGTGCATTCGTGCTCACTAGAGGATAGGAAAGGATCCTTGATCCAGTTGCCTACTCGATGTCACTGCTTGGGTATTCCAAAAACATCTCAAGTTTATAATTTTCAAGACTGAATTCATGATTTTCTCCAGTTAAGCCTGTTTGACTTTTTCCTGTCTTAATGTACCACCCCTAACCCTGTGGCAACCTGTTCTCCATACTATAGCCGAGGTGTCCCCAAACTTTTTACACAGGGGGCCAGTTCACTGTCCCTCAGACCGTTGGAGGGCCGCCACATACTGTGCTCCTCTCACTGACCACCAATGAAAGAGGTGCCCCTTCCTGAAGTGCGGCAGGGGGGGGGCCAGATAAATGGCCTCAGGAGGCTGCAGTTTGGGGACGCCTGCTATAGCCAGAGCAACCTTATCAAAATGCAAGTTAGACCGTATCATGCCCTCCCTACTTTGGGTTTATTCCTCCATCTACTCAAGCCAAACTTGCCTTCCTCCAATTTCCTCTTGCCACAGGGCCTTTGCACATGCTATGTTGATGTCTGGAATGTTGTGTCCCTTGCACTGTTCTATCCTGTCTCCTGTAGCCAGTTTAACTTTGAATTTCATCTCAAACATCACTTATTTGGGGAAAGTTTCCTTATTCTCACCGACTAGGTCAGTTTCCCTTATGGTATAGCACAGTCCTTTAGTCTCCTTTATACAGGTTATCAATGTAGTATTTCATTTATTTTATATGAACGAAACACATACAGTTCCCATCCATGTAACACAGTGTGGAGGAGACATTAATAATATATCCAGAAGCTCCCTTTTCTGAATCTGTTAGTCAGATGATTAGTGAGTTAATTGAAAGTCAGATAAATCAGAGAATCTTTTTATTTATTTATTTATTTATTTATTTATTTATTTATTTATTTATTTTGAGACGGAGTTTTGCTTTTGTTACCCAGGCTGGAGTGCAATGGCACGATCTTGGCTCACCGCAACCTCCGCCTCCTGGGTTCAGGCAATTCTCCTGCCTCAGCCTCCTGAGTAGCTGGGATTACAGGCACGTGCCACCATGCCCAGCTAATTTTTTGTATTTTTAGTAGAGACGGGGTTTCACCATGTTGACCAGGATGGTCTCGATCTCTTGACCTCGTGATCCACCCGCCTCGGCCTCCCAAAGTACTGGGATTACAGGCTTGAGCCACCGTGCCTGGCTCTTTTTATTTTTTTTAAGAGAGAAGATTTTACCGCTTCTGCCCAGGCTGGAGTGCAATAGCATGATCATGGTTCACTGCAGCCTTGACCTCCTGGGCTCAAACGATTCTCCCACCTTAGCCTCCCGAGTAGCTGAGACTACAGGCTCAACCCACCACACGCAGCTGAATTTTTAAATTTTTCCTAGAGACAGGCTGTGTTGCCCAGGCTGGTCTGAAACTCCCAGCCTCAAATTATCCTCCCATTTTGGCCTCCCAAAGTGCTGGGATTATAGGACTGAGCTACTGCACCTGGCCTAGGAAATCATCTTTTGCTGAAACAATATATTTATTTTAACTAAAGATATAAAAATATACATTAATTTGCCGATTTTGTGGTAAGGCTTTCTGTTTGTGTATGGATTGTTGACTGGTGTCCCTCAGTCCTTTCTTGCATATGCTACACATAGCATATATTCTATGATTTTCAGTTGAAGTACATGCTTAAAAGTAGAATGAAAGCCCAGTGCGGTGTCTCACACCTGTAATCCCAGCACTTTGAGAGGCCAAGGCAGGTGGATCACGAGGTCAGGAGTTCAAGATCAGCCTGGCCAATATGGTGAAACCCCATCTCTACTAAAAATCCAAAAATTAGCCGAGTGTGGTGGCACTCACCTGTAGTCCCAGCTACTTAGGAGGCTGAGGCAGGAGAATCACTTGAATCCGGGAGGCAGAGGTTGAAGTGAGCTGAGATCGCACCACTGCACTCTAGCCTGGGCAAGACTCCGTCTCAAAAAAAAAAAAAAAAAAAAGGAAAAGTAGAATGAGACCTTTGATACTTTGAAACAAGATAAATTCAGAGTCTTTGATTTTCAATTCTTTTTCCTTTTTGCCCTATCTTTTCACACTTGCCTTGCCCATACCTGTTTTGTCAGCAGTTTTTCCAGTGATTCAGTTGTCTTATTCTTAGTGGCTATGGTCTTAGGTCGGCATGCGTCGAAGGACAGTCATCACACAGACAGCATGGTGGCTCTGCAGTCCACCGCCTCTCCCGTGTGTCTGAAGTGCCACCATGAGTACGTGTTGCTTTGGCTCTGTTGTTCCTGAGGGAGATGACTTTGGAGAACACAAGCCCTGGGGTCGCGTGCCTGGGAGGCAGTCCCACGTCTGGAGCCAGTTGCCACTAACGCTTCCCAGAAGTCTCTGTTGTCCTCTAACACTTCCCAGAAGTCTCTTTGGTCCTGCTAGGCCTGCCTATCTCTTTTCTAGTTAAAGTTATTTCTTTGTATTTGAGGGTAGGAGGGTTAAAATACAAGGTGTTCCCTAGGCATGTTTTCTTTTCCTCACATCCGTGGTCATTCAGACACCCCGATGCCTCTTGCAATATATAACTCTGCAGTTTTCTTTGTTTTATGAGGGCATGGAGTACACATGTCTGGGGCCTTGCTGACCTTACATTCCAAAGTCCTGGGCCTCCCACAGTGAGGCCAGCTGCCGTTTCACCCAGTGCACCTCCTCTTTCCTCCTCAGTGCCCTGCCTGCAGTATGTGCTCGGGGCTTCCTTCTGGTGCGCAACTGGCCATGGGACTGTATCCACCTCCCTTGATTCATGTAAGCTTAATGTCAAGTGCGAAAAGCCGTTTCCTAGAATAGCAATTGACTGATGTCACCCCTGACCCATTGCAATGGAGGATAGCATCTTCCTTTCTCTGTTTATCTTTTGGTTGTGGGTACTGACATCTATTATTGCAGCAGGACTAGTGATAACTGACTATCCCTCAGATAATTGGCTGCTTGGTCTGCAGCCAATTATCTGAGTGTTTGCAGCTTATCTATTTGTATGTCAGTGTCTCCCATTGTATTATGAGGTCCGTGATGGCAAAGTATGAATTGGTGTTTAACAGCTAGGGCTTTGGAACCAGACAGACCTGAATTCAAATTCTGGCTTTGCCATTTACCAGCTCTCCTAACTATAGGCAAATTATCTATAAACTCTTTGTGCCTCCGTTTCTTCATCTGCACAATGAGGTAGTATTAATAAATACCTTCCTTGTAAGATTATTGTGCAACTTTAAGAAAGATGCAGCATATAAAACATTTAGCAAAGTGCCTGGTTTGTGGTAAGTGCTCAATAAATGTTACCTGTGGTGCTGCTGTTAATGATCATACTCAGCACCTTGTAAGTTGCTTTAAGTATTTGTACAATGAATTTATACAGCAAGTAAGGTTTGAAGGCCCTTACTAGAGACTGGAAACATTTAAATGCTAGGTTCTCTGGGAAGTTGTAGAGATCAGGACTGATCAGGGATGGAGTGCCTGCCCATGCTAATAAAATTAACAAAGACCATTTCTTGAACAGGCATCATTCCAGGAGATCAGTTCATTGAGTTAGTTGGGATTATTATGTTATATTCTGTTGAAATCGTTTCATTTATTTTTATTAATTATTAGGATAACTCTGGGAACTTGAATTAGTAGAATTGAATACTTTCTTTTTTTTTTTTTTTTTTTTTTGAGACAAGATCTTGCTCTGTTGCCCAGGCTGGATTGCAGTGGTGTGATCTCGGCTCACTGCAACCTCTGCCTCCTGAGCTCAACTGATCCACCTGTCTTGGCCTCCCGAAGTGCTGGGATTATAGGCATGAGCCACAGCACCCAGCCAATCAAATGCATTTCTAACTGATGAGAGAAGCAGGTTGCAACCTCAGTGATATGCACTGAGTGTATAAACTGGGATTTTGATTCTGAACTGTAAGAAAAAGCAGTTCCTGGTGTGGCTACAATTGAAAAAGAAATGTGCCCTTCAGAAGTCCTCGGAGAGTCCCTGAACCAGAATTCCAACACTGGCAGGTTAATGGTTGAAGAAGCCAGCCTATGGGCACCCAACTGAAGTTCTGGGATTCTATTTTTCAGTTCTGTCCCTTGAAACTGTGGTTCTTTTTGTTGGGATTCCACGGAGCTGTTTGGTGTAGTACCTGGGTAAATAGCCTTTTCAATTTTTAATAATTTGTCATGGATTCAAAACTTCTGACTTCTTACAATCCAAAGAGTAATGTTCATTGCCCTTGAAAAAAAAACAAAACAAAACCAGATCTATTCTTTTTTCCAAGCTGCAGCAAGGCGTTTACCATTTCTATTTCTGGGATCTCTTAGCTGGGTGATAAGTAACGATGGGACTGTAGGTAGGGTGGCTTTGTCTGCCTCCACCACTCTGTGGATAAAGGCCACATGTCATTTAACAAGTCCGCCAGGGATGTTTAGATGGCTTCTGTTGCTGTAGTTGATGCATCTGGAAGGTCAGCCTTTCCAGCCAGGTCTTTCTGAACAAAAAGTGGCAAAAGTGTTATCGCCTTTTCCCCCTCTTTCCAGATCTCATGTTCTGGCGTGGCTTCCTGCTGCAGTGCTGTTTGCGGGTATCGTCTATGCTGGGTCCAGAGCCTTGTCCAGACTGGTAAGTGTTAGAGGTTTGAGGGGAACAGCCCATCTCTCTTTCCCCTTTGCCTTTTAACTTATCTTGCCTCAGATCAATAAGGGTGAGAATTACTTTAATAATGATAAAGCTAGATTGGAGAACAAGTCTTGGGCCTGAGGCCAGCATGGGACCTATTACCCCTTTCGTAGAGTTGAAGATAATCAGATAACAGGGACGGCCAACTTGTGTTACAAATTGGGGGTGCATACAGAGAAGCAGAAGAAAGAGTAGTGGTATTTGTGGAGCTGGCCATAGACAGGCCCTGCTGGGGGCTGCCTCCCGGTGGAGATGGGCAGAGTGGGAATGCCCTGGCTCTGCCTGAATGCAGGCTGTCTACGGGAGAAGGGAGGCAGGGCCTAACCTGCTCCTTGCTTCTGAGGACCCAAACCCTGCCTGTTGGTAATGTGGCCTGGTGCGGTTGGCTGTGGATGCAAATGCCTGACGTAGGGTCGATGTCCTGTACATGAGGGAGCTAGTAAAGCAAGCTGACTCTTCTGTTCTCCCCCCACTTCCCCGCAGGACTCAGCTCCTCAAATGCAGGAACTGTAAAGAGCAAAGCTACTTCCAGATACATTATTTGGAACTCCAAAAATTTATTTTACCATCCAAAGAGAATCCATTAAAACCCTCATGAACAGAAGGTGGCGTACAAGTCAGGAATGATGTGAATACCTCCTCTGGTCTTGTCCCATGACTACTAGCTGTTTATATCTATCAGAAAACAGTCGTATTTTGACTTTGGGGAAAGTGCAGAATGTGCAAAACAATTTAGTCTTTTAATGCTAAAATTCTTGTTGTTATGTTAGCCCCTTAGATCTTGGCTATAAAAACAGTAAAAACAAACAAATAAGATCTGCCTAATTGGAAAACCGTGTTATTGTTAGGACAGCAACTCCAAAGTTGCAAAATAGCATTGAGGAATGTAATTTTGAAACTAAATAACCATTTTTCTTTCGTGGTTCATAAGCTTAAGTAGACGGAGTGATATATGCAGTGGGGAAGAACCTTCCTGGGTGAGCCTGAGAACTGACCCATGGTGCACGTTGCTGCTCAGCTCAGACCGCAAGGCTTGCCCTGGCCATCTGCTGTGGCTTCATTGTTCTCAGGCTCTTACCGCCTCAGTTTATACCCTTTGGCCTGCAGAGAGTGCTTCTTCTCCTACGCCATAGACTACTGGATTTGGTAAAAGCAGTGTGTTGCTCAAGTGCTTTTACATTTTTTTCTAGGCTCTGGATAGTTATGCTTGCCAGAATTTTGAAGTTTGAATAATAAGGTGTTATGCTCATAATAATAATACTTCTTGTTCGTGCAGTGCTTTTTTTCGTGGGCTACCAGAGTGATTTCCTACGTGTCCTTTTACAGTGATTCTTGCAGTCTTCTGACAGATGATAGATGAGGCAGCTGTTAACCACTTGACAGAGGAAGAGGCATAGGTATAAAAGTCTTGCTAAACCTGCCTGTAGTCCCAGATAGTGGCAGCTCTTGTTTTTCTGTTTTCGTTTTTGCTTTGAGATGGGGTCTTGCTCTTGTGGTCTTGTGGCTCAGGCTAGCGTGCAGTGGCACAATCACAGCTCCTTAGAGCCTCGACCTCTTGGGCTCAATGGGCTCCAGTGATCCTCCCACCTTCGCCTCTTGAGTAGTGGGGAATATAGGTACATACCAGTACACCTGGCTATTTGTTTATCTATTTTTTTAAAGATGGAATCTTGCTCTGTTGCCCAGACTGGTCTTGAACTCCTGGGCTCAAGTGATCCTCCCGCCTCAGCCTCGTAGAACATTGAGATTACAGACACGAGCTACCACGCCTGGCATGGCAGCTCTTCTGACTCCCCACCTTTTGACTTTTCAGAATTGTTTCTTTAGGACCAATGCGTATGGATTTTAGAGTGAGCCCAGGTTATAGTAGTCATTGTGTAACTTTAGACTCTTTCAGTTGCAAGTGTTAGAAGGCTCAAAAACTGATCTCAGCAAAAGTAAGATTTACCGGTTCATATAACTGAAAAGTCATAGGGTAGAAACCTACTTCACGCATGGCTTTGTGCAGAGGTTCTAGTATTAGACTCAGAATCCAGTTTCTCTGTCTTTCAATTCTGCTCCCAATCTTTGTCTCTTCTCACATCTAGCCCCTACCCCACCCCTGCCACAATGAGTGTTGTACAGCTGCCCCCAACAATGGGTGTCAACTCCAGCCTGACATTCTTACAACTTTAGTGGAAAGAGACCATTTTCCTGGTAGCTCCTGCATGAGTCCCAGGCTTCACTCTGATTGGATGAGTCAGGGCCACTGCCATCCTTGATCTGAAAACTGGTCGCAAGGTTGGAATTATGTTGATTGGCCAGCCCTGGATCATGGCTTCCCTGAACCATTCACTGTGATTAGAGGGACTTGGAGGCCTAGTCATATAGGATCTCTGCCTGGATCCCACAGATGGAGAGCAGGCTGTAATGGATCCTCAATATTGGAGTGCTTTACTGAAAGAAAAAAAAAAAAAAAAAAAAAAAAGGAGTTACTGATACTAGGTGGCCCAATACTCTCAGAAGACCATTTTAAATGTCAGTCTCGTATGTTTTCAGGCAGGTGAGGAGTTCTGCAGCCTACAGCAATGCTTCTTGAGCTGTGATCTGCAGCTGTACCAGTCTTTGAATTCTTTGTTACCTGTCCATGAGGAGATCAGCTTTGGCACTAACCACACTGTTTAACTGAGCTGGCTTTTTTTTTTTTTCTTCCCCATAGCAAGACATTTTGAAGAAGGAAGCAATGCATTGATTTACATTCTGTTGCCATCTCCTTATCTTCTTGAGGACCAGCACTTTGACTGGCATTTCCCTAGAGTGTAGCCTTTTTTCAGAGATGGGGGTCTTACTATGTTGCCCAGGCTGGCCTCAAACCCTTGGGCTCACATCATCCTCCTGCCTCAGCCTCCCAAGTAGCTGGGACTACAGATATGTGCCATTGCACCCTGCTGAGAGCACAGTCTTTAATAAGCAAAAAGAAGATGTTGCAAGTCAAAATCTTTGAACAAAGGGAAACAACCAAAAACCAAATACACCCAATTAGAGTGGGAGGAGGGCGGAAAGGAGACGATTATTATTGTTTTCTTGTAAAATAGCTCAACTCAGCATCTTTTCTTTGTTTTCTGAGCTCTTTGTTTGTACATTGTTGCTTAGAAATTCATAGGGTGGATAACAGGAGGCACTCGTACAGTTTGTGTTGGAGAGAAAACAGGCATCAATATGCTGGTGCCAAGCTGTCAGTTTAATGAATCCATAAGGAATGGGGGGAAAGTGCTCCGTTAAAATCGGTAGATGTATTGTTAGGCAAAACACTTTCAGGTAGCTCTTCTCCATAAAGCCCTCCTTGCTCTGACAAGGCCTTGAAGTTCTGTTCTCCTGATGTGTAGCTCCTGGGAGGAAGCTGAGTTAACTCTGCACAGATGCTATGGGCAAAGCTTTGCTGATTTTTCTACCTCAGACTCCCAACCAAATGATCTACAGAGTTAAGGGAAAGGAGATTTTTCTTGTAGCTATCTATTCAGCACGTAGTTATGCGGGACCTACTACGTGCTGGGGGCTTAAAGGCAAATAAGACCTGGTTTCCGACCTTGAGGAACTGAAAGGGATGGGGTGGGGAGTGAAAGACACACAGCTCACCATGGGAGCAGCCACCATGAATGTCTGGCGCTAAGCATGTGCCAGGCGCTTTCTGTAACCAATCTTGATGACATGTGAGTTGGACTTGGCTTGATTTGGGCCTGCTTGGCCAGCTCCCTTACACTGAGTAAGGTCACAGTGATGATGGCTCTGATGGCATGAGTGTCAGTCTTGGAGGGACAGTGTGACTTTGATGGCTCATTATGACTCTTGTTATAATTTCCTGGTCGGAAGCCTTCTCAGCTGGATAGGACTGCCTCAGCCTGTCTGTGCTGGCCAGTGTTCAGAACAGATGCACAAATTCTTACATTACTGAGCTTGCTGGAGAGTGGCCATCCTGGCATTGGTGATTTGACTCAAGCCATGCTGGTTTCTTGCTGGGAGGAGGCCAGGGTCTGCTGCTGGAGGAACCCTGAAAATCTAGGTCAAGGCGCCTTGACAGGACAGGAATTGTTTTCCTTGCTGAACTCTTTGATCTTGATCCTTCCTAATGGCTTGTTATGGTCTTCCATGAGCATTATATTCACTCAACATACTGGGGGTGGAGATGGGATTTTGTGTGTATGGTGGGGGGCAGGGGGTTGGTGAGGAAACACACATGGATCATTAAACCCATGTGAGTTAGTTACTCAGTTAAGCAAAATGGTACCTGTGGGTCCCCTCTCCCTTTGTTTGGCTCCAATATCATAAAGGAAGTTGGCTCCACAAAGGAAAAGAGTGTAGGTGTTGGTGTGGAATGGAGCATCCACCCCTAGTGTCCCTGTTACTGCTGATGAGAGGCAGCTCCTTCTGTTACGTTGTGTTCTTATCACAGGTGATCAGAGTCCAACTACAAGGATTCGTTTTAAAAATGTGGGCTCAGTGGGAGTGCAGTAAACCCCTTGCCAGACTTTAGTTATCATCTTTCTCCCCCTAAAAATTGTCCTGTAACTCTTATAAAATGACATAATATTAACATTGAACTCCTGGGGGAAAGCTTCATGACATTGGATTTGACAAGGATTTCTTGGATATGACACCAAGGCATAGGCAACAGAAGAAAAATAGAGTCATTGACTTCATCAAAATGAAAAATTTTGGTGCATTAAAGGATACTGTCAACATAGTAAAAAGGCAATCCCCAGAAAGGGAGGAAATATTTACAAATCCCTCATCAGTGGTGGGATTCACATACAGACTACATGGAGAACTCATAAAACTTAACAGCACAAAAGCAAACAACCTGATGGAAAAACGGGCAAAGGACTTGAATAGATGTTTCTCCGCAGATGATATTTAAAGACTGATAAAACAATGAAAAGATGCTCAGCAGCATTAATCATTAGAAA